TGCTGAAATACCTGCAGTTGCATCAGAGTTAACTTGTCCTTTTTGCTATTAGCATTTGATGGAAAAGCTGGCCAGCAGTGAGTGACCTTATAGACTTATCTTTGATTTATAACTATTAAAATTTAAATGATGGACACTTAAGTATCAATTTTTTGTTTAGCAGCCACTTTTTTAATGGCTGGTAAAGCTTGGTAATGAGGCTAGTGCTCATCTGTTGGAGACTAGTGTGGGTGGGAGGTTTGGTGATGCTTCAAGGGGGTTTCAAAATTGACAGGAGGTGGCAGTTTTACAATGAGGGTGGTGAAGCACTGGCACAGGCTGCCTAGAGAGGTGGTGGATGCTCCATCCCTGGAAACAGGCTGGATGGGGCTCTGAGCAACCCGATCTAGTTGAAGATGGTCCCTGCTGATTGCAGGAGGGTTGAACCAGATGACCTTTAAGGTTCCCTTCCAAACCAAACTATTCTAGGAATTGTGCTGAATTCCCACGCGCAGCTGAGGCCACAGGAGCCTTTTGTCTTATGCTGTAATCCTGGTTTGCGTTTAACCTTTGGAAGAGGCTGACGCTCTGCGGCTGAGCCATCGCATGATCGTGTGCCTCCTACCTCGCATTGAAAGGATGATCTTGCTTGTCACCGGCAGGAAAATCTGCAAGTCATGCAAATGCAGCCAGGAGGATCACAGCCTGAGCTCAGACTTGGAGGATGATCGGAAAATTGGGCGCCTGCTGTCAGACTCCAAGTATGCCACCCTCACTGCCCGGGTGAAAGGAGGTGATGGCATCCGCATTTACAAAAGGAACCGTATGATCATCACCAACCCTATTGTCTCCCGGAAAGACCCCACCTTTGACACCATCACGTATGAGTGGGCTCCACCAGGGCTCACCCAGAAGCTGGTAAGACAATTCACAGCGTGGCTGGCGGGTAGTTGTGTCACTTAATGGAGACCATAACTTGGCTCTGGAATAAAGTTATCAGGGAAAAATAGTAAAACATATGGCTTCTCTCGGAGCAAAAATGCGTGTAATGCTTTATTTTGGAAAACCATGTGAATAACCAGAGTAGGTAGGAGAAGGGAATGGATTGCCTTTGGGTTTTTATAGGTTTGCTTACATTTCCAGAAGAAGTCTTAATGGGTTTTACAACTAGAAAGCTCACTACTTAAGTAAAGCTCATGTCCAATAAAAACATTGCTGAGGAAAGATCCCATCTCTGCTGTCTTGCCAGTTGTACAATGCCTGTGCAGCCCACGCAGGCGTTTGGACAGTCCAAAACCCCAGGCTGGATGTGGGAGCAGTTCCTCCAGGCCTCCTTGGGGTGTCTGGGTTGTGACTTCTCCCTAAACACCCCACCTAGGAGGGCCCCTTGGAGGCAGAAAGCTGTGCAAGCTGTGGGACATGCACAAGGACAGCAAGTGAACTCCAGAGACCTGTCTCCAGGCTTCTGAAACAACATGGGTCTGGACAGGGCTTCTGGGAGAAGCAGCAGAGACAAGCTCTTTGGGTAGATTATTTGAGCAGGAGGAGTTGCTGTGGGCTTTCCTATTCCTGTTGGAGAGGGAGATCCTGCCTTGCTTGTTGAGCATGATCTCTTGCAAATCTGGGTGTGAGCCTGTCCCAAGACCAGCATGGGCAGAGGCAGGTAGCTGGGAGACTTCCACTGACCTGGATGCTTTCTTCAGGAAACTATGCTTCAGTCTGTCTCAAGCAAAGAAATTAAATCAATGCATAAAGAAGTAATGCTGCATCATGGTGCTAAATCCAGCACCATGTTTGTAAATTGTTCTGTTACAGAAATGGGCTTTAATGATAACAAAAATAATTGTTTCCTTTAATATAGTAATTATTTTCTTTGAGGTAGTTGTTAAAATATTGGACTTAAAATAGACCTGGCATCTCAGGCTTATTAACTAGGAGTGCAACTAGTGCTCACTTGTGCCTCTGTAAACCACAGAATGGCCTCATTCCCTGTTGAATGCTCCATCACCTCAGCCCTGGACAAGTGTCCCTAGGAATACTGAAAGTGTGCTGACAGTGCTTGCTTTGTGGCTTAACTTCTTTGTAGTGCTGTCTTTAACTTTGGCTCAGGCTTGCTGGGCAGGTGGAGGAGCAGGAGAGGGGGGCTTAGCTTTTTGTAGTGGTGGTGGGCAGTGAGGTGCCAGGTGGGTGACTGTGCCTCAGGGCTCCCATCTCCTGCCCGCAGAAGAGCACTGCTTCAGTGGAAAACGCCCTCCAGCAGCGGCTCAGAGCCCCTGTGCCTAGGGACTCTCCCACCACCTCTGCTGAAGTGCAGCAGCCACCCATCCCTGTCCCCAGCAGACTTGTGGAGCTTCCTCCTCCAGGGAATAGGAGCGGGAATGTTCGTCATGCCAAGGCACACTGGCCTTGGAGGCAAGCTAAGCTGAGCTCAGTGAGCATCCTGCCTACGTGGGCATGAGCTCTGCCCATCACTGCTGCCTGAGGAACCCCTCCCAGATTCAGCACTGGAGCTGGGAGTTTTTTCCTTATGGCTAAACATAGTCTGTTCCAAACAAAAATATTTCTCTTTAGGATTTGCAGAGATAACTGGGGGTGAAAAGAGGAGATGGAGAGTGTGTTCCCATGCCCAGGGCTGGATCTGAAAACAATCCCCCAGCCCAACCCCACCTTCCCTCCTGCGCCTGGTTTCCATCCGGCTGAGCGGGAACAAATGGAAGTGGTTTTTGGCATGTGGAAGTGTTAGCCAGCAGAGCACTTCTTGAGGGAAAGCATTTAACTGGCTTTTAACTGTGGTGTGGTACTAAAACATTATATATTACACTGTCATTAGTGGACAGCTTTTGCTCTTCAAATTAAACAAATAGTTTAAAGCTGCTGAAAATTGCAACCAGATTTTATTAAAGAAGAATTGGGGAAACAAATCTGAAATTGTGGTTGCAGACCCGAGAGGCAGCCTGATTATTTCTCAACTTGGTTGCCCTCACCTCCATGGCAAGGCTGACTAGGGTGGCATGAAGCCTGTACTGGGAATGCAGCTGGGGCCTGTGGTGCTAACTGGAGCTGACCACTGGGCTTTAATGAAGGACTGAGACCCCCACACATCTGACTGCCCGGCTGCTTAATCGCAGCACTGCTGCTCACAGCCTCCTCTTCCTTTCTCTTTTTAGGAGGTATGTTTGTTTAACCAGCATTTGCCTTCTGCAGGTCCCATGAGGAATCGGGGAGCTCATGAGGGATGGGGAGAACAATGATGGCACTCTTCCCACCCAGCCTGATTCATTAAGCATACTGCCCAGCTTGGCGTTTATCAAAGCCCAGGTTTCACTGCTCCGCGAGCTGGCTGCGGCACTTCTCCGGACCCAACCCCTGGTCGTACCCCTTTGCGAGTGCACGTTTGGGGCAGCGGGGTGCTGGGAAGCCCAGCAGCTCCCCCACCACAGAGTGAACTCCATCCCTGCAGCGCTGGTGAGCAGCGGCTCAGAGGGCATGTGCTTTGTGAAAGCTTTTGAATCTTTTATAGTGCCTGGACGGACTGGAAGATATCTTGGTTCAAGTAAACAATGTGCAGGAGATCTGAAGACAGTGTTGATAAATCTTGGCTTGAAGATCAACCTGAGAAACTTTTAGGAGAAGTGCTGGATGTCAGCCGTTCTCAGGATAGTTCAAAAGGGATTTGAGCCAAAAAGCTTTTAGTGCATAACTGACTTGCTCCAGTGATTTCCTTCTGCAGGCAGGCTGGAAACCTGGGATTGTTTTTAATATTGTTATCCTGAAGTGGATGGTCCAATAATAGGAGGAAGTTCAGAGTGTGTTTTCATTAAGCTGTGCCTGGAGAAGTTATGAAGTAGATATTTAATGTCCTTGGGGAAAGTGAAAAGAACAGATGATAATATCTCTGAAATCCAGTAGTTAACAGTGAAAACTTAAAATGCTCTTCCTCAAAGTTATCTGTGCTGAGGCAACATACTAAGACTTGACCATAGTAATGCATGGTAGCAGCAGAAGAAACAACTGTTATCCTTCACTTCAGTTCTCGTTGTCAGGCTGAACTTTCTTCCCTGATCTATTCTCTGGACACATTCTATGACATCTGCAATTACGACCTCAAACATTCCCTTGATCAGGGACTGAAATCCCACCGCATGTCTGGGCAGATACTGAAACCTGCCACTGACCAGTCCAACTGTACTTCGAAGAAAGGCTTGGGACTTTGCTTTTCTCTCTTCACTGCCCATACAAAACATCTGAGTCTGGTGCTGGACTGGAATGCAAAGCTTCAAATGCACATGCTGGCATGGTGGTGTTCCTGTAGCTCTGGTATTAGTGCTTATGGCACATTTGTAGTGGATTAACAATTTCTTCCATTAAGATCCTACCATGTTACTGCTCTGTTAATGCTCTTGCTGTGGCTGAACCAAGCCGGTGCATACTGCATAGTGTAGACTGTCTCAGCGTTCATGGTTGTATAGTGCTGAGGCTCTGGTTGCTGCTCTTTCCAGTTGTCAGATTTCACTGGCAGTATCCTTATTTTGTGGGGCAGTGCCTGTGTGAGGCCTAGGAGGAGCAATCAGGGAATTCCTGTCTCTTGCTTCTGTAGTTCCTATTAGGATTTCTCAGTTCTGTGAAAGCCATCTGTGCACCAGATCACTTCTACAGCATCCTGCAGCTGTTCAACCAGCTATTCCCGAGCAGCACCGGCAATGCTCCCCCATTAAACTTCTGGGTATCAATCCTACCCTTTGCACAGAGGCACAATATACAGTGTTGGTGTTTGTATTTCATCATGTGCAGTGACATTAACATGCGCTCCAAGAAACAGAAAAGCCCTGCCTCCATTAAATCATTTATCTATTGCTGTTGCAAATCTTCAGGCAGAAATTTTGCCCTGCAACACTGCATCTGGCTGAAAGTTGCTGAGGTGGAAGCTGACTTTGAGATTTTCACAGATGTGATGAATTCAGTGTTGTGCGAACATTTCGGTATTTAAAAGGCCATACTGAACCAGACTACATACAGTAAACAGTTAATTGCTTCTCTATGCTTTTTTTTTAAAGTCAGGTTTCAAATGCTGACCAAGTAAGAAACAAATGTAATGCAGCTGCATGCTGGTCTTTAAAACAGAATGGCAGAGAGCCAACTGGCTGCCCCTTAGCTCTTCACACTACAATAGGAAAAATGCCTGGAGCAGGGAAACTCCCTTCCCCTTAGCACCAGGCCAGAGGAAGTTAACTGTACAGACCCCACTGTCCCGCAAATGCTAATTGAGCATGAGACAGACCTCTCACAAGATCATGGTTTACTCTGCTTTTAAGACAGTGGCTAGTGGCCAGTTGCGTTGAGATTTTCTGATAATTTATTGGTATTTTCTTTCCATGTTGCAGGGCATCAGTGACCGAAAACCTTCCCTTTACTGCAAAATCAATAGTTGGGTAGAGTTGGTGGCTGTCAGGGTTACATACAGACTCAACTGCTATCCGTCTACTCCTTCCCTTTTTATCAATTAAGAAAACACTCTTAATACAGGATCTAGGTCTTTTACTGTAAACTCTGCTGCATGCAGCCCACAAGGGTTATGGGGTGCTCTGGGTGCAGCCTCTGACCTGCTTCCTGGAGATCTCCTTGTCCTGGAAGCTGGCTGGTCTCGGAGGTTGATGTTTGTGAGTTTCTAGTCTTTTCAGCAGCCTTGTTGTCATGTTACCGGGAATAGCAGCATGCGAATGGTGGTGAGGGAGAGTGTGTTGGGATCTGGGTGCAAACTAGTGAAGTAAGTCTTTGCTGCTTTGCTTTCTTGGGGAGTCTGTTTTTTTTTTTTTAAATAAATAAAACAACTAAGAATCCCCAACCAACCTGTCTTCTGAGAATGAAACGATGAACGACAGCCTGGCTGCTACTTGCATCTGTGTAAGCTCAGCCTTTTATCTCGGAAGTGTAGGTTAGAACAACACCAAGGGAGACGGGAGGGGAAGGGGCACGTTTTCTGCCGCTGCTCTGTAACGCAAGCGGAGTGTCTGTTTGCAGAGCACCTGCACAAAGCAAACTGGCACTTCCCCGCTGAAGGCAGCTTAGAGTAACTGTTGGTGTCTCTCTGTCCCAGGCCATGCAGTACATGGAGCTGATCCCGAAGGAGATGCAGCCCGTGGCAGGGACGGATGGGGCATACTATCGCCGGCGGCAGCTGATGAGACAACTACCGCTGTATGACCAGGACCCATCCCAGTGCCATGGCCTCGCGGAGGGCGAGCTGAAGCTGATGGAAGACTTCGTGAAGAAATACAAAGCTGAGGCACTGGGCGTTGGGGAGGTGGCACTGCCAGGCCAGGGCGGCAGTGGGAAGGAGGAAGGGAAGGCGCAGGATAAGAGCATCACTACCAGCAAACCCCCCGAGTCCACCAATGGGTCCCTGGATCCCACACCTGCAGGAGGGCTCTACGTAAGTGCTGTGGGTGGGATGGGCTGGCAGGGGTGCCTGGCTCTGCTTTGAGTTTGGGCAGCTTTCAGGGATTGGATTATAGCCCAAACTAGAGGGGGAAAAAGATTGCAGCAGCCAGGGCTGCCTGTCCCTTGTTAGCCCACAGCAGCAGTATTGCTTCTCTAAGGATGCTGCAGTGCTTTTTCAAACTAGCAGAGCAGTGCTGTGATGCTCAGTTGCATCATAACGTGCTTTGGTACAGCACTGTGAAAGACCCTGGAGAGACCCCTCGTGCTCCCACCTGCCCTGCTGATCACAGGTATCTATCTAACTGGGGTGAGGACGGACAGCTTATCTCCTCTTCACCATCTCCCTCCTTCCACAGCAAAAGCTGTGCTGAACCACCAAGGTAAGCAAATCTTCCATTAGCTGTAGGAGCTGGTGATTTCAACTTCGGATTCTTGGCAGCTCTGAAAGATTGGGCATGACATGTGCATAGATGATTCTGCATCAATCGGGTACTCAAGATCAGAAACTGTTTTGCTGCGAGCTAGTGAGCATTTCCAGCTAGGCTTCCAGACCAGTGCAAGTGGAAAGACTGCAAGCCACAGGAGGTGGTGGCTCAGTCTAATTAATGTAAAGCTGTGAACATGGAGATAGTGCTCCCAGGGCTGTAATCACTCTGCGGGACTTTGAACAGACCATGCATGTCTCTGGGCATAAAAATACGTTTCCACAGGGAAATGATTGAGATTCCCTAACACCCTCGTAGATTTATATTCTCCTAGCACTGACTGAAGTGGCCATTGTGGTTGCTGAACAAATGCTTATCATCAAATATGGTGAGTGAAAATATTTCATCCTGGCCCTTGTGAGGGTGACTTGTGGCAGAGGATTTAAAGATGGGGAAAAAATGGTGTCCTGGTGTTTTTAAGGCAAGATTTTTCTAGCCATTACTGCACTGAGACTGTAACATGTTAAGAGCAGTTTTCATTTTGATTCCATATTGGGTAATGTCTCCCCTCCGCTATCGTCTTTTCTGTTAGCGTGCATCTGACTTGGAGTCCAGTGATACAGAAAAAGTTTTTCACTATTGCAACAAAATACTGAATTGGACAAAGAATTTTAACCTAAAAAAATAACCAAAAAAGGAAGGTTTCCATTAAACTCATTAATAAAAGTCATCTTAGCAATGAAGGTTTACTTAGACTGCAAGTTTATCCTTCCAAATAAATACATAACTGTGATGTTATTCTCTGTAGTTCAAAGCATCATTTTTTTCTAGAGGCACTAGCTGAAAAATGAAACCGTTTCAAAAGCAGTTTCAGGAGATCCAATCTGACCAGCGCTGTGCAGCTCAGCTCGAGACCTCCCATTCCCACTGTAACAAAACACTGCCCGTCTTAATTTGACCTCCCGTGCAGGAATTAATGCAGCTGACCTGATACCAGTGGACTGTGTCACGAGATCTGAGATGTGCTAAACTTCCAGGAGGTCTACTGGCTTTCCCAAAACTGCACTGGAAGAAAAGTTCTGCTGTAGAAAAATGAGATGTAGCATTTCAGTTCGTCAGTATGTGTGAGGCTGAAAGTAGATGGGAGCAAAATAAGGGATATGAAGGCCAAGAATGGATGTAAAGGGACTGAGAAATGAAGTGCCTGGAGCCAACGACACTGGAGGCTTTAATGTTGTTGATGTATTCAGGGTGGAAATTCAGGATCAGCATGCTCCAGATGTGGAGGTTTAGGTCCCTCTCTCCTCGTGTGACCGTCTCCTAAAACCTGAGTGTTGAATGTGATGCCTGAGGAAGCTCCTTTGAGCCTTCCTCCACCACTGCTCTCTGGGATGCTGCAGGTGATGCCTGTGAGTGCCACCAGCCTGCCTGGGGCCACTGCAGGGTAAGCTGTCCTCTCTGGCAGTGTGTTTGTCCCCCACCCTCCAAGACCTGCAGGACTGCAGCAATAAAAAGGAGTTTTGAGCAGATAGGAATGTCTTTGGTTCAAGGATGTAGGGTGAAAATAGGGTGCTGAATAGCTTATTTTGGAGATTCTGGTTTTCAGCTTGGGTGGTTTTTTCATTGAGTCCATTAGAAATAGGACACAGATTTGAATGTGTTGAATACCAGACCTCTTAATCAGCACCAGCAGTTTAATTTCACCCTATTTCAGATTGAGGTGTGAGTCTGAACTATAGGTTTATGAAGGTTAGATGTGGAGGAAAAAAAAAACCAAACAAATAAACACTACCCCTGCTGTAGAAGAGAATGAACCCACAAAACACTAAAGCTTCACCAAGAAACAAGCTAGAATGATTTCCTGGGGTGTTTGTGTAGTCCCTGTGCTAAGGTTGTTAAACCTCTTATTGCACACTCAGGCCAGCTGTGTTGAAATTGGTGTGCAAAGGAAAACATACAGGGCGGATGTAAATCACCCCGAGAGGCTTCTGAGCTCAAACAGCTCTTTGAACTTGTCTCAACTGTGGAGAGGGGCCCCATCGCTGTAATAAGTCTGTCCTATGAGCTGAATGTCCTCCACCGAGCATAAAATCATCTTTAACCCCCTCAGAACTGGAAAGTATTCTGGTGTTGTAAGCTGTTGTGTTGGAATCAAGTCAGCTCCTGAAGCAGTTGATTGAAATGAGCCATTGCCCCCAAAAGCTTGAGGCCAGCAATGTAGAGAGTGTTCAGGGGAAGCCTGGTGGTGTCTGGGGAGCTCCTTCTGTGGGAGCTGTTGTTGCAAAATAACAGCCAAGGGAGAGACCAAGTCTGAAAAAGCTGAAGAGAAAGGGACACTTTCTTGGGCAACACCTCTGGTAACTCTGCTAATTTTTTTTTCTCTCCCTACACGGTGGAGATGTAAAATGAGTACCAAGCTGTAATCCCATCTTAAGTTGGAATAGCCACTTCTTATTTACTGTGTAAATGGCAGGGGGATGGAAGATACATGATACTTAGGAAAAGCCCTGGGAATAATTGCCACAGAAAGAAACGGCAAAATAAGTTGTTTTTTTAACAGTTCTTATTGGCAAGAAACTTGAGCTCAGAGTTGGAAAGCTGCTGTGTTTGTTCTTGCTGTTAGATGGTGCAAGATAAGCAAGGCTGGGATGGATGGGTCTGGCGCTTTCCCTGGGGATGACAGCGTGGAGCCA